ATAAAATGTTATATTATTAAAACAAAAATAAATTATTTTATTATTAAACTTAAATTAAATTATAATAAAAAAAGTAAATTAAAAAAATTACATAAAAATAGAACTTTTAAATAGTTGATTTGATATTAACATTAATATATATATTTTTTTCAAATTTATATTTTATTCAAAAATAAAATCGTTATTGCTTTTTTAAAAACACATAAAATCTTGTTATAACATCGACAGAGAGTACCTTTCTAGTGTATATATATATATATATATATATATATATATATATATATATAATTTGGAAAATTGTGAGAATATTGAAATTTTGTTGGTCTTAGAAAAGGTTGGGGATAGGGAGATTTTGGATGCGTTGGAGAGAGTTTTCTACATAAAATTTGATATAATTTTTAAAAATAGAAAATATATTTTAAAATTATTAATTTACAAAATTAATTTTAATATATATATATATATATATATATATAAGTAATAATATAACAAGATAATTAAAAATTAAACTTATTAAAAAAAATAAAAAACTTGTGTAAAAATTTATGAGAAGCAAAAAAAATAAAACAAAGTTAATAACTGTATTTTACAATAATCAGTTCATTATTTTAACAATTTTAAGTGAATGTAGTTAATAACTGTATTTTACAATAATCAGTTCATTATTTTATTTTAACAATTAAAACAAAATAAAATAGTTAGAGAACAATATAAAAGCAAAACAATAATAATAAAAAGTGAATGTAGACAATAATTCAGGTTATTCAGTATCAGGGTTCTTTAGAACCTTTGACAGGCCAAGAACATATGTCCCACGATATATAATCTTATAAAAACCCCAACAGGAATCTCAATACAATTTTTTAAGTGTGAAATCAGTTTTTAAAATTATCTAGAAATTACTTTACACTACACTGGTTCCTAATCAATTTCTTAATTGACATCTTGTCATAAAATTTAATATTTTAATCAAATAACAACAAAACTAAAATTAACGTTGTATACGAATCGAATATTCAATAAACCATTTGACGGAAACTTCATTCATGTTTGTTTATTTAATAAGGAATTCGGGAATCTTTTCTTGATTACCACCAATTGGCAATTGCTATATGTCATTTAAAATAAAGGCACTAAGTATATCATCAAATTCAAATTGAATTTTTGTTACAAATGATTAAAAGAATTTATCGTTACAATCTATATTATCTTATAAACCAGATTTATTAAAAGTTTTAAAAAAAAATTTAATGCATAAAGTACTATACATTTATGCACAAAGTCTTAAAAGGTTTTAAAAACAATTCATAATACATTAAGTACTACTACTTTATACATTCAGTCTTAAAATCTCTTAATCTACAATTAAAATAACATACAGTACAAGTTACCAATGCACATTATTATTTTTTCTTTTCATGTTTCCAAGATACTTTTAACATCTTTCACTCATGCCTTCATCCTCTCATACCTCTGTGTCTTCTCCCCATCCCCAAGTTGAGATTCAAACTGATATTCACCATGAGTTATTAATTTTTTTTTTTCATTTATCTCTCATTCAATTGATTTAGAACTCTCGCTCTCGCTCTCTTGATTCTTTGCTATTAGTGTAAATCTAACACATTTGTGGAGTCGTTTAAATATGTTGGATTTTTAAGTATATTAGATTTTAAACTGTTATATAACAATTTTTTTCATCGATAGATTGTAATTAGAACCATAACTCTTATTTATTCAAATTGTATTAAATGTAAAGACCAAGTGTAACTTATATCATCGTTAAATCTTCTCTAATAAAACCAGTGAAATTTCAAAATCGTTAAAATTCACAGCTCCTGCTGCATTGCACGAGTAAACAACTAGTAGATAGAAATTAAAAGATTGTGTATTACTTGCTCACGGACTTATATTAAGTAATAGATGCTTATTGGGTAAAAATAAATAATGTTCTTTAATAACATATATATTTTGTCGCATAAATATGCTCACTGAGATACCATTTAAAAATACTATGTTTTCTGACTCGGTTAGTGCTTGAGCCAACACTTACTTTGTTTCACAAACATTTGATAAACAATAATTTTCAGCCTAGGCTCTACAACAAAATTAGATGTATAGGACGCCACCAATATATAAGCGTCATAATAGACCACTTATAGGACCAAAAAAAATGTCCTATCTAAAAGCGTTGTACTAAGTTTATAGTATGCTTTTGGACGTCTTAACAAGCTTTTTAGAACACTTTCATAAAAGAACGTCATATTATCTATTTTATAGGACAACATTTAAAAAAAATGTCCTATAAACACAAGTGTCTTGTAAAAAAAAGAGTTCATTTGACATTTTCTCAAAACTGTTCTATAAAATAGCTAATATGACGCTTTGTATTAAAAGCATCATAAAAAACTTGTTAAGACGTCCAAAAAGTTTCCTATAAACATATTACAATGCCTTTAGACATGACACTTTATTTTTTAGTACTATAAACTATTTTCTATAAAATGGTCTATTAGGACCCTTATTGATTAATTGGCGGCGTCCTATAAACCAAGTTTTGTTGTAGTGAGGGGTGGACCTACGAGAACGAGGTCCCATGCACTTGTTCAACCAATTTTTACAAATAAAATACTTTTTGGTGTATAACCGCTAAACATTAAGAGGTGCTACGAGTCATATTAGGAAAAATACAAGAAACATCGATTAAAAAATATAAAAAAAAACCCCTCGAAATCAACAAAAAATACCTTAAAACATGAAATTTGGCTAAAAACCCGACACCCATTTTACGGATCTTTAATTCACGTTAAAGATGTATTTGGCGAGTAAAAATCTTATATCTACCACTATCTTTACCAATAATTATCTAAAATATTATTCTTATTGGGTTAATGTTTATCCTATGTTAACCGTATTCTCATTCAGATGTGAAGTGTAAGCAACTTTGTGAATAAATAGCTCCATGACCATCTTATGAAAACCACCACTACGAAACAAATACACGCATATATATCTTTCGACTTGGTAGAATTCTATGGTGACACCTGCAATGGCTACCGACCAAAATAGCGTGGTTGTGGTGATGGTTCCACTGCCGTTACACGGCCACCTCAATCAGCTCCTCCACCTCTCCCGCCTTGTCGCCTCCTACAACTTCCCTGTTCACTTCGTCTGCACCACCACCCATTGCCGTCAAGCCAAGCTCCGAGTCCAGGGATGGAACCCCCATACCATCTCCACCATCAATTTCCATGACTTCCCCATCCCTCCCTACGCCTCCCCTCCACCCAACCCCCATTCCACCAATAAGTTCCCTTCCCATCTCCAACCTTTATGTGAAGCGGCCACCCATCTCCGTCGACCGGTGGCCACCCTCCTCCGGAAACTCTCCGCCACCACCCGACGCCTTGTTGTGATCCATGACTCTCTGATTGGTTCTGTCGTTCAAGACTTTGTTTCTCTTCCGAATGCAGAATCTTACACTTTTCACAGCGTATCAGCTTTCTCGATTGCCTTGTTCACTTCACAGAAAGTTGGAGAGCAAATCCAAGAGTTGGTCGAACCACATGCCCTAACAAAAGACCTCCTCTCGTTTGAGGGTTGCTTCACCTCCGAGTTCAAGAAATTCATCACAGTCCAACACGAATACACAAAACTTAGTTCGGGTCGTATCTACAACACGTGTAGAATCGTCGAGCAACCAATCTTGGACCTACTTGCAACAGATGCGAGAAACAGAAACAAGTTACTTTGGGCTCTCGGACCTTTTAATCCGGTAGACATAAAACCAACACCACTCTCGAGGAAAGATGGTGGTCCAGGCGACAGATGCCTCAAATGGCTTCACAAGCAAGCATCGAACACCGTGATCTTCGTTTCTTTCGGGACAACCACTTCATTCTCCCAAGAACAAATTCTCGAGATTGCAAACGGGTTGGAAAAAAGCAATCACAAGTTCATCTGGGTGCTGAGAGATGCAGATAAAGGAGATATGTTCAGAGATGATCTTAGACGGGTGGAGCTCCCAGAAGGGTATGAAAATCGAGTTAAAGATAGAGGGTTAGTCGTTCGAGAATGGGCACCTCAACTAGAAATCTTGGCTCACCCATCGATCGGTGGATTCATGAGTCACTGTGGATGGAATTCGTGCGTTGAAAGTATGTCAATGGGTGTCCCGATAGCTGCCTGGCCCATGCACTCCGATCAACCAAACAACGCCGTGCTGGTAACCAAGATTCTCAAAATAGGGTTGCTGGTGAAAGAATGGTGCCGGCGAGAGCAGGTGGTGGCGGCAGCGGCGGTGGAGACGGCGGTTAGGAGACTGATGGGTTCGAAGGAAGGGCAAGAGATGAGGAAGAGAGCGGTGGCAATGGGCAGCCGAGTTAGGAAGTCGGTGAAAGATGGCGGCATCACTCAGATGGAGCTGGAATCGTTCATCGCTCATATAACTCGATAAACATCGATTAATTATATCATCTGCCGACTTAATTCGATCATGTAAGGAAAGTAAATTCGATCAGCGGTCATTTTCCGTTTCATGGTTGGGTTGACAAATTAAATGGAGGGTCCGTCGGGCCGCCACCGTATGGAACAACCGAATAACTGCGTAGTGGAGGCCGACGTCTCAACTCATTAATTCTCTTTGGTGGCCAAAAACTTTCAACACATAAATGCAGTGCTTAAAAAGGAACATTCAATGTGGTATGTTTTTTCCCTTTTTGGTAAAAAATTGTGGTATTAAGCATAAAACGACATATTTGCTTATGTAATGGGTAAGGAAGGGTCTAACATGTTACCATACATGTATATTTTTTCCATATACCATAATTTATCAATTAATTATAATTGATATTAATTATTTTTATTCGATATATATTGATATGGTTTTATACCAACATCGTGAAAATCGATATTATAAATTAATTTATGTTCACATATTTTACCAAAGAGATCTAGATATACAAAAAAGTTTCGTTTGTTAAACTAACTGATAAGTTACACTACCAAACAAGGCAAGATTCCGGTGGCTATATCCCTCGGAAATTAGCCGAAAAAACTTTATTTCCGGTGGATATAGGCGTCGGTGATTATTTTCCCGACGGATTTACAAGCGGATTTACCATTTTCCGGCAGATTCTGGCCACCAGAAACTTTCCAACGGTTTATTTAAAAGTTGGTGTTTAAATTAAGAAAATATTTAAGTTTTTTTTTTATTTTAAAAATTGGATTAAATTACCGTTGGAAAAAGTCCACCGAAAATCCTCCGGTAACCATATCTGCCGGAAAAGAATTAATTTAAAAAAAATATATTTATTTCTTTAAATATTACCGGCAGATTTCCGACTAACAAATTAGTTGATAAGTTAGTTGTTAACTAATAAATTAGTTGATGATCGATATATAAATTACCACTTGATTGGAAAAATGGTTGCCAATGGTAGTAGGTATATATGAGTCGTCGAGGGTAGGCAAGGGGTCTCGTTGTTTTTTGTATATATACTTGGGAGCTCGTTGTGGTCTTGAGATGGATGATGACGAAAGGGGAAGGAGGTGATTCACCAGAGAAGTAGAATGGTGGAGGAGGCGATGCCTTGGGGAGTGTCTTCGACGGGAACAAGGAGACAAAGTCTTCACTGGAGATGGAGTTCACGGTAGGGATAACTTCACATGAGATGAAGTTTACAGTAGGGATAGCTTCACCAGATATGGAGTTTACCGTTGAGGATGGCTTCACAAGACATCGAGTAGGACATAACAATATAACATAATAAAAAATAGAAAAGGAAAAAAAGAGTGTAAAAGAAAAAAATACGCCTTGAGTTAACTGGGCTAACAATGTTCATTAGAGGGAGGGGCTCAGAGCGTGTATTTTTGCATACCAGAATGACCAGTGTGTGTAATAAACGCATTTGAGAGACTGTAGTAGGGAAAACCAACAAACTATAGGGATCATGAATGTAATTTACTCTAAAACAAATCATTAATGATAAGATATGTTAATTAAAACAAACTAGATGGTTAAAAAAATAAATAATATAATATGTTACTAATAGAATTTTAATTTAATTTATTATAGACAGATATTAATGTAATACTAGAAGAGTACTCGCGCAATGCAGCGAGATACATCGTGTTTTTAATATTTCATTTTATTCTTTATCTCAGTCGATGTTATAATATGACTTTATGTGATTTTGAGAAAGCGATGATGTTTTTATTTTTGAATAAAATAT